TAACTGCCTGGAGTCTTTTAAATATAAGTAACACGCACCCAGTAATAAGCTGTCGGTTGTTTTTTTGCTGCCTGCAAAGAAACATAAACACAGCGCTCATTTCTGGCAGGTTTTTACTGTCAGAGTTTCTCCTATTATATTTATCTTACAATTTGCCAGGGGGTGAAGTTATTAAGTTTTAGCAGCAGCCATCGATCAAGTTCACAAGTTAACACGATAAAGGCTCTGTGCCGCTCCGATCCGGGAAAATGATGATCCTCACTCGGTAATTAACTAAATGAGAAAGTTAAATCTTACTTGAGAGCTGGGAGAGATGAAAGAGAGGTGTTTGTCAGTTTCTCAGTGGAAATTAGAAGCAGTTTTCTGCAATTCCCTAAGCTGCTGCTCTGTCATATTTTACATAAGCACTGGGAAAACGTCTTGTAATTAGTGCTGTCATGGAGGATTTTTTTTGCTGAAGGATGTTGGAATAATTCATTAGATTATCAAGAAAGGCTTGTGTCCTGAAATGATTAGCACAGTGAAATTTAAACCATTAACGATAACAAGTTTAGAGCTTGCTGCAGTGCAGAGGCACCCGGGGTATGTCTGTGCCTATTTCAATCATTTCTTATAATTAAACATTATGTCCTCTTTTTTCCTCCCCTTCACTAAGACCCATCCAAAATTCCTGTTAAGGTGGCTCTGTCTAGATCAGTGACTTAACCACAACTGGCGGTGCAAGCGGTTGGAGGTGAAATGCTGCAGTTGTAGATAAGCAGTAGAAGACATCTCTCTGTATCAGAGCCGGTAGTCCCAGTGAGTCCGGGACGGAGGGGAGAAGCCTTTCGATGAACTGTCAGTACTGGAACGTCTAAGGGAAGTCCCTTCCTTTTGTCTAGGGAGAAACTCTGAGAAATTTGCGGTGGTGGTCTAAGCTCTGTCTTTTCAGAGCTCCAGCATGAAGATGTCTTGAAGGTTCAGGAGGTCCCAAACCTTGCTGGGATCATTTAAGCCATTCTCAATATTCTAGGAGACAGCTTCTCTTTTTTTTTTTTTTTACTTTAAGAGATGCCTTCTTACCTTAAGAAACATATAATCTGAATTCATCCACCTTGTGGAAAGTGCCTTAACAAAGTCATCTGCAATGATGAGAGGACAATGGTGGGTTTTTTTAAAAAAATATATAAAAACTGTGGCCACTCATATGGGTGGGGGAACACCATACCTATGCTAGAATCAGAGAATTGTGCTTTGGTTTTTTCGGTGCTTTAGGAGGCTCTTTGGCCCTCTGTACTGAACAAAAACAAAAGTAACCTTGGTTGTCATTTATGGGTTACAGCTGTAGTATACCATGGCTGCTTTGTTTTATATGCAGAGCAGTAGATTTATCCAGGTTTTATTTATCTGTGTTAAAATATTGCACCTTCCTATAGTTGCAAGCCATTATTTAGATTAAAGTCCTTTCATGTATTAGTCCTCTTCTACTTCACTGGGCATACAAATGTGCTTTGTGTTAAATGTAGCCATTTGGAGAAATGGTCTTGTAATTATGGGCTGCAATGGAGCATAGTAGGTAGATCCCCGAGCTCGTACCAACCTGAGGCGCTCAGTCCCCTGGGTTTCCTGGCACAGCTTACTAGCGGAGGCACATCGTTGTAGGAGGACACCTCTACTGTTCCTGCAGATGAGCTGTTGTGCCTGGAGCCAGCTGGGGCACCGCTCAGCCCTCGCTTGCAGGGGTGTGTGAAAAGGGACTCAGAAAAGCCTTCTCCGTTCTGAGGTAGTAGTTTGCTCTGGTATACTCAAGCTTCCTCCCAGGTAACGGACTGCCAGTGCTTATTCTTCTCTGCCACTTTTGGAAGTGAAGCTTGTAAAAAGCATGCCCGTATACAGTGTGTTGGGATGGATATTTACACTGGCAGTGTGAACGGCGTGTGGGACAGTTCTTTCTTTTTCAGGTGAGACCTGGTTATTGTACCAGGAGAGAGAGGGAAGAGGTTGTAGATGATTATGTGCTCCAGGAAATAGTTGCTGATATTGTTCTGAGATGGGTTTGTAGTGAACTTGAGGCAGTTGATCAGAGTGGTTGAGTCATCATGGTTTCTCAGGAAGCCATATCGATTCTCTTACTGATAGTAACCCCCCTCCCACCCAGCACTTTAATAATACAGATGCTTGATCTTGGTTTGTTGTTGGCTTTTTTTAATAACAGGCCTTTTTCACTGAACCCCCAGTGGATTTTTAGGAATCTTCAAATTGAAAATCTGGAATTTTGTTCTAAACTGTAGCTACAGACAGTCTGGGGCAGGCATGTGAGCGAGTGATTTGGGAGCCCTATGAATCAGTCTGTCTCTGCTCTGCAGAACTGGTGTGTTTGTGGCTTGCCCTGTCCTCCTGGTCCCTTGCTTGCATAGACCACAGGACCTGCTGGGCATACCATGGCTACATCTGGGCTCGTCCTCGCTCTTTTGATGGGAAGCCAGAGCAGGCAAGGGTGCAAACCAGGGCTCAAGTTGGCATTGTCAGAATGTGGCCAAAGTACGCGCACGAACCTAAAAAATATAGTGTTCCCCTGTCTACTAATTTGGACATAAACCCTGTAATAGGTATAGTGCTTTTCTTAGCAGATCCACTATATAAACATGGACTTTGACTTCCAAAGGTATTCCAGGTGTTGGTCAATGGCTCTAATTTACTCATTATTCCCACCCAAGAGGCCTATATTCACTTGGGATCCAGGCAAAATGGGTTACTTTGTCCCATCTAAACCATCTGTTTGTACACACATAAGCCATTACTTGTTTCTGCAGATGTTGTAGCTTCTGTTTGATACCCCAAACTGATGTTTTAGAGGTAACTGGGGAGCTGAAGGCTGCTGGGAGAACGGTGCTCGGGAGGCAAGGAAGGGCCAGAACGTGGTGGCACCCTATGAAAGGAGTTGCCCTTTTTGTGATCTTTGCACATCAGCTGTCTACTCCGCTCCAGCTCAGCATATTAGTCAGACTTCACAATCTTGCAAATTAAAAGGCAGAAATAAAGGTTTTTTTTTAAATGCTTTGCAGCCATAAAGTACAGCAGGAAAAAAAAAAAGAAATGAAATGAGATCAAGCTTGTAGAACACAACACCTCTCCGCTGTCTTAATCCAGCATTTTTACAAGGGTGTGTTTGGCAGACAGCTTAACTGCAGCAAAAATGACCAGAATCCCTTAAGACCAATGTTCAGTGCAGTCCATTGGTAATTATTTTTTGCCAGGCTGTTGCCTACTGTGGACTTTGCTGGAATAACTCCAGCCTTTCACGCCTAGGACTTCAAGCGCACAGCCCCTTTAGAGATTTCTCTCCATAAGAAGTTGGCCCAAGAGAGAGTATTTCTTTCCTTCTACCCAGTAACGCGGTCTGTGATTCGCCTGCCATCAGTGCTGTCCATGTGATGACCAAATGAAATAATGTAGTTCAGTCATAGCCTTTGTCTTGCATGATCTTACTGGACACACAGAAATTCGCAGGGAGGAGTGGGGGTAAACGTAAGGTGGAAAACACTGAGCTGCAAAATTGAGTACCGATGATGTGATTTCTATGTTCTGTGTTCTCAAAGAAAATGAAGGCAAACCATAGTTCAGAAATAGAAGAAACTACTTGTTAAAAATGACAACTAATTAATGTCTTTTTCTACACACTGCCCAGCTCTGCTGGGAATGCTGAAAAGAGTATTTAGGTGGATTTTCTTTAGAAAATGAAATGGTGTTTCAAACTCCCAATTGTTGTCGGGATTGAGAAGTGTATTGAAATACAGGGATTATTTACTCCTGAGAAATGAGGAATTCCTGAATTCTAAACCCAGTTTTGGTAACTAGATTTTGTGGTGTCCAAATAACTCACCATTTTGGCACTTGCTGATAAAAGGCTTTTTTGTTGTTTTTTCTTTTCCTGTAAAATCAGTTAATCCATGGATTTCTTGTAGATCATTAGATATCTTTGCAAAGAGATTTAGGTACTAGGTTTTTCACTTAAAGTCAATAAAGTTTCCTGGTGAGGTTGATGCCTGGAATTATCATTGTAGAAAAGAAATGTGGCAAATTGTTTTATATATTTTGATATGTCTAATAGAGCACCTCTAAATGTATTTTGTAAATAAAAATGATGTAATAATATTGACTGTTGTTATAATGCTGTCTGGTGTTAAACCGTTGCAGTGAAAGAGAGAAAATCACGTTTTCAGCATTTAATACAAACTATTTCACCACTACGGGAAAAAATTTACTTCCCAGCAAACAGTTAATCTTACTTGGACAATGGATATCCTTGCAATGCAAAATGTGCAGGTTTTTTTCCAGTTAAATCGTTTAGAAATCAGAAATTATATCTTGCTATCAAGTAGTAAATTGAAATGTCAGTGTTTTGTTTTGTCCCTGAAACTCTTCTTCGAGCTGACTCCTTCTGACAAGATATTAACAGTGCTCAGAAAGTTGAAAATCTCTTATTCTGTGAAAGAAGTATGTACCAAATATCAGTGTGTGTTTTAGCTGCCTTTGCTCTCAAGGTACAATTTTATACTCAAAAGAAGTACTATAATTTTTTTTCTCATCCACTTAATGTATTTCCTATGTTTTTTAGCAGCAGTCCGTTCTTTAGAAAAAAACCCAATCAAACAGAATACAAATGCAGTTTTCTGTTGGTGCATTGAAGTAACCGGTAACTGTAGGTTAGGAATCCAAATGCATTTTACTGTCTGCAAGATGTAAATAAAATTGTGTTCGTGTTAAATTGCCACTCACGGTTTCCCATCTGACCGGAGTCCTTTGCGTGCAGCTCTGGCATGAGCCGATGCATTGTCCCGCAGGAGTTACAGCTCACAGTGGCTGCGCTCCGACTGCGGCATCAAATGGGGTACATGCCTCGGCCAACTTTATGTATTGGAGTGCTTTTCCTTCTGCACTTTCCACCCAAAAAATCATAAAACCTGAGCTTCTTTTCATATGTGTGATTTGAGGTTTTTTTTTCTCCTTCCTGTTTACAGACAAAACTTGCCAATGGCACTTCCAGTATGATTGTGCCGAAGCAAAGAAAACTGTCTGCAAGCTATGAGAAGGAGAAGGAACTCTGCGTCAAGTATTTTGAACAGTGGTCCGAGTCTGACCAGGTGGAGTTTGTGGAGCACCTCATCTCCCAGATGTGTCACTACCAGCACGGACATATAAACTCATACCTCAAGCCCATGTTACAGCGGGACTTCATCACTGCACTGCCAGGTATTTCTGCAGGCGGAGGGAGCTTGCTCCTCCGTCTTGTCTTTCAGAAAACTCTTCTGCTCTGGCCTAAAGAGCTCTGGAGAGCTCTCTTCTAGGGTCAGTTTGCAAAATAGATGATAGCTTTTGAAAGAAAAGCTCTATACCGGTGTGAAACGTAGTAATGTTTTATTTTGCATTCCTACTGTCTCTCAAGACGTGATCTTGATACCAACATGGTTTGGCTAGGAGTAAATCACAGCTCATATATGTATTATAAGGACAGTCGTTGTAAGCCACAGGGCAGGTGGTTGTACTCATAATGCCCACAACAATGCGTGAATAACGAAAAATTTTAAAATTAAAACTACTACTCTTTTTGGTTGCTCAGCTGAGGTTTTCCTTTCTTACTTAGATTTTTTGTCTCTCTTTCCTGGTAAAATATCTTCCTGAAGCCATCACTTTGCCTATGTGTTTATTGCTAATAGATAATGGAGGACATGAGATTAAAGGATGGAAATGTCCTATTCTTTGCACCTCTGTAGTGCTTTCCATTGAGAATATTATCCCACCTGTTCTGAGATGTGGCATTTGGTGCATCTCACAGAATGCACACAAAAAATAGCGTATGCGCAGTTTTGTATTGGCCCTGTCTTATAGATGGGAAAATTGAGGCAGTGGGAGATAAAATATATACAGCAGTAGAGTTTCAAAGCCAGACAGAAATTCGCGGCACTTTGGTCTTTTTTTCAGACCAGTAGATTGTACCTCTGTAGATAAATAGATAGACAGTTAATAGATTTGCACTCCCATGGCATAGTTCCTTGGTTTCAGAGGGACCTGAGCAAGAAGTACTACAGGTGTTGTCTCTAAATAGCTAGTTGAAGAGAGGAGTTTCTTCCCAAAAGCTTGTTCTGTTAATACCTTTGGAGAAGTGCTGAACTCTGATAATTTGTTCAATCCAATCATTTGATCATTCTTCAGAAGGGATTTCTCAACGTGAAATTTAGGTTCTAGGGTTTAAAGATGGAAAAAAGCATGTTTAACTGTGAGTTCCACAAAGAACAAAGGCACTGCAGGAGTTTTGCTATGAAGTTAAATACGTAGACTCCCTGGATTTTTAAGCTGATTGTGCCCAGTAATCAAGTGGATGTTGTAACATAAAAAAAATAATCTTAGTTATGCTAAGTACCTGCTTTATGTTAGTTTTTAGTAGTCCAACAGCAATAATCTCATGTACTTAGAGCAGCATTATAACTTGTGGAGCTGTTGTGTTTCAGAAAAACAGAGAGTATGTTGAAAGTCCATTGGTTTGCCCACTTTTAAAGTGGAAGTATACATATAGTTACATACACAATTTTTCCAGGTCTTTCTCTACAAAACTCCATCAAAGCAAGCCAACACATCTCATTTGCACTTGCTTAATTTCATCCTACAGGCCTTTTTCTGAAAATTTTGGGCAAATATCATAAATATTTTCAGAGGCACTCAAAATGTTGTAGCCATACTGTATTTGTTAGTGGTCTTTTCAGTTACCCAGGAAGCAGCTAATTTTAGTACTTCAGAATGCAGAACAGACAGGAATCATATCTGAGTATTTGAAGAGTTGTGGGAACTGCGTGCTTAAATAATGTATGTGCATCAATTTGCATACTTGCAAAGTGCTAATGTCCTAGTGAATATAGCTCTAAGGGAGAAAATTAATGGCAAGGAATTACATTGGCGCAGGCTCTGCAGTCTGTGCAGGATGTCCTGAGCATAGGCAGGTTTCTAATGAGCAGAATGGGTAAGGGCAGGGGTAGAAATTGCCTAGGAAAGAGGGATGAACCTAAAATTTCAAATTTTTTTGAAAGAGTGATGAACCTAAAATTTCAAATTAAGTCATAAAACAGAAAACCCTAAACTCTTAAGTATTTTTTAGCTTTCTGAAATTCTCAAGTGTTCAGTATTCTGGTTTCATTTTTACTCCTTCATTCTCTCTCCTGCTCTCCCCCTCGAGTAAATAAAACAATAAAGCTACTTCAAAATCATGAGGCATCTTATCTCTGTCCTCCTAGCTCTGTCCCAAAGAATGACCAGAGTTAAAGGTAGTTTTACATCATGAGCATGCTTTACTAATACAGAGTAAAATTTTCTCAGACTATTTTCCCAGTACTTTGGACAGAATTAAGGTTGTTTGAAAAATGCAGCTTAACTGTGTACTTAACAAACTTTGTTCTGTTTCTGAAAAACAAGGTTTCTGCTTAGCATTTCCAAGCTGTTTAACATTTTTTATGAGGAAAGTAATTTTTTAAAGGGTTTCATGTGTGAAATAACTGAAACGTTTTTGTTGGTATGGAGGACTGAAGGGCTAATCATGTTTCACATCGATTTAGCAAAAAACTTTTGCGAGCAGAGATTTCTCTTTTTTAAGGAAGTGTTGCTTTGTTAGATACATGTCTCAGTGAGTTGTGGGTGAAAATTGCTGTGCCCAGTTTATGCAGTGTAGCCCTGCTTCTTAAAGCCACCAGTCTGTTCTCCGTATAAAATAACTCCTTGTTGTCATGCTGCTTACATAAAACCAGAGATATGGATACTATACAGGCAGGCGTTTGTAAATGTCCTGGTAAATGTCTTTGAGCCCAGTGGAAGCAACACAGACTGGGAAAGCAAATATGCTATTTCCACCCAGTGGAGACAGCTCAGGGCTGCAGGTGCCAGGGTGGGGAAGCAGGGGAATATGATGTCCATGTCTGCCCTACCAAATTGCAGAATTCCTGCAAATTCCAGTTCACTTTCACTAAAACGTTGTATGTCTCTTTCCACAAATTGCTGTAGAGTCAATCTAACTTTTGCAAACATTCCTTTTTTTCTTTTTATAAAGAATTTTATATAGTGGCTGTATATATCTTTTCAGATTAAATACATAATAAAGGCTGCTGATGCTTTTATTTTGCAGGTTGACATCTAATTTTGCATCTATAAAGATAAGAAATGTCAGGCCTCTTTCTGCACTCTCTGGTCGTGCATGGTATCATTCACGTGCTTTTTCTACCTATGAATGGAAGCATAAAACACTGGGCAGAATGTCTCATTCAAAGCGTATTATAAATTTAGCATGTTTGAAAGGAGCAAGAGGAGGCATGCTGAGTTTTCTCATTTTCATGCATTGGGAGATAATTTTGAGATCTTTCAGTTAACAAAACCAAAGGTTGGGCCTTTTGTGTCTCATGAACTCTAATCAGAATCAGCTGATTGCCCCCAGTTTGGGTTTGCAGAAGTACAGACATGTGACTGTAAAAATGCACTTGCTGTTTTTTCCTTCCGTCACAAGCAAGGCCTGGTCTTTGAGGCTGTTGTTTTAAAAGCAAGAAAAGACGTATTTAACTCTGTCCCAAATGTGAACCAGAGGGAAGATGCATGAAATACCAATCTGCCATGCTTCCTTTTTGGTTGGTCTGAACGTTGTGCCTGAGGGATGAAGGGGTCTAAACTACAACTTTCACAAGGGCTCTGAAATTTGACCGGTGAAGTGAGATAATCTCTTGATGGTTTGTCTCACTTGTGAATTAAACAGCCTCCAAGAGAAGCTGTATTTGTGCAGCACCTCATGTGAAAGGCATCTCATTTTCCTGAAGTCTTGCCGGTGATTAAATTTGAGTGGGTACGGGCACATTTTTCCTGGATACATCCATCCAGTTAAGAAACGTAGCATAACCTTCCCTGGCCCCCAGCTACGCAGACTTTATACCGGGCTGCTTGGTGCCAACCAAGCAATTGCTTTACATTTCACTCCAGCCATGTTGAAACAAAGCCAATCTGGTATTCACACTGGAAAATATTTGCAAATTGTACCATTTTGCTGCATATTTTTCCTCCACCCACTAAAATAAATGAAACTAGCAAACCTGCTTCACTTTCTCCTTACACAGCCTCTCCTTCCCTCTCCACTTCCCTGTGCATCTGCATATCTTTCCCTCCCCCATGTCTAAAGGTACCACTACCCTTCAGGGCACACATTGGGAATATATATTTTTTTCTTCATTACGTTTAAAAGCTACTGCTTTAGCAAAAACAGCTTTTGAGCCGTTGGAACATGAGAACAGCTGTAGCAGTGAGATGAGAAATGGTCCTAATATAGAGAGATTTTGGGGGCTGCGTCGCTGAGTTGGAAATGCCATCCATAGAATATCCCCCTAGTGCTAAAACCCATCGAAATAGATTGGAATGACTTCTTGGATTCTTTATTATTTTTAATGACTTGTTGTGTTATATCCAAAGGAAGTTGGAGAACGCTGTTCACTCCTGAACTTAGCCGCAAACGCTCTTCTGTGCATTTGGTCCAGCTCTGCATGCAGAAGAGTAGAAGGAAGGAGAGAGTATCTTTGTACTATCAAGGGGAGTTGTTTTAAACTCCGTGTCTCCCCATGAAATAATCTTTTCTTTTTTTTTTTTTTTCCCCTCCCCCAGCTCGGGGATTGGATCACATCGCTGAGAACATTCTGTCATACCTGGATGCCAAATCGTTGTGTGCTGCTGAGCTGGTGTGCAAGGAGTGGTACCGGGTGACGTCAGACGGCATGCTGTGGAAGAAGCTCATCGAGAGAATGGTCAGGACAGACTCCCTGTGGAGGGGCTTGTCAGAGAGGAGAGGATGGTGAGGGAACTGCATCTTCACCTCTTTTGCCCCCATTCAGGACAGTAGGTGCTGTGTGTTTCAAACCATGGTTAAAGAGGGTTATTTGGCACCCTGAAACATCATGTTGGTTCCAGACCTGATAGTTGCTTAAATCAAAATTCAGGGGCTGGGGAGTTAGGGCATCATTTGGCTGTGCAGGCAATGTGGGGGGCTTTTTCCTCACCTTCCTCATCTGATCACACTCTTATCCCACTGTGACAAGTGAGATACACAGACTGAGATTTTTACACCCAGCTGTCATTCGGTTCAAATTAAGAAGCTGTGTACGCCTCGGGGGAACACTAAACTAGTCAGCAGTTCAGAGCAGAAGAGCTTTTTTAGGGGTGGCAGTGGGGCAGAATGTGCTATGAATTAGTTGTTTCTTGATAGGTCTGTTTGTTTTCCTCAGCAGATTTTCACTATTAGATATCTGTTTAATTTTCAAACTGGAAGCTGAGGGTAGGTACCACGGAGAATAGGGGACTTTAGAAATGCAGATAGATTAGTTAATAATCATCTGGAATAGCCTTACTACAATGTGGGTCTCACTCAAGTTTGAAGCTGCTCTGTTAACATTTCATTAGAACTTTTCCTCTCAGGGGTATGTCCTTTAATACATAATTTTCTTTTCCAAGGGTGTCCCTAGGATGTTGGCAGAAAGGAAGCTGGGTATGAATATTTCATAAACAAGATAAAAGTGACAGCTCAGGCATTTTGGTTGCTATTAAAAAGAAAAAGATACAGAGTTGCAAACAAAGACTCCTGTTTTATGGTTAATTTTGTTATACTGTTTGTCTCAGGAAGTAAAGGCTAGTAAATCAGGGTTATGAAACATCCTTTAAAAACAAATACTATGTTGATCTGCTTCCAATACTGTAATGTTTATAAAAAGTGTAAAATAAACACAAGCATGACAGTGATAACTTTTGCATCCCTTTTAGTGCCTTGTTCTCTCCAGGACTTCTGGTTTTACTCTGTATTGTTGAGGTCACAGTAAGTCTGAAGAGGACCTTGAGAGGTTATTTAGTCCCTCCTGTTTCCCAAAGGCAGAGACAGTTTTCTCTTTAGTCATGCCAGATGTTTGTCTAACTTGTTCTTAAAAACCTTCACTGATGGAGATTCCCCAGGCTGTGCCTGGGCAAGCAATTCCACTGTTTCACGCACTTTAATGTTAGAAAGATATTCCTAAAATCTAGGCTGTCTTCCTAGCTACAGTTCAGCACATTGTATTTAGCCTACACAGACACACAGGACAATTTCTCATTCTCCTTTTTGCAGTAATCTTTTGCATGTTGGAAGATGATCATGTTTTCTTATATACTGGATGCGCTAACCAACCGTAATCCTGTGTTTTCTTGTCCTCTTGTCAGTCTTTGTTTTCTCTGTTTAGACCCTCCCCAATTACTCATCCACCATTCTTGGTGGATGGCCTTATCAGCTGGGTGTCTCACTTCTGCCGAGGGATCACCAGAATTTGGCAGTGTGGGAAGCATTGCTTTGCATGCCATGTGGAGGACACTTAATTCTATGCTTTCTAGTAGAACGTGGGGGTTTTTTTGTTTTTTTTTTTTTTTTTACAGTGGTATAACATTGTTAGAAAACTTTTAATTATCCTCTCTGTGGAAGTTCTACTTAGCTGCTATTTCTCATCTCGCATACTTATGTTGTTAATAGGTGGTGAACTTGGCACTTGTCCTTATTGAATTAGATTCTGTTTATTGCTTGGTATTTCTCCATTTTGTCAGGAGCATTATGAGCTTAATCTTGTCCTTGAAAGTGCTTGTAGCTTCTCCTAGCTTTAGTATCATTGGCCAGGTAATAAATGCACTGCCTGTTCCGTTCTTTGTCATTAATGAAAATGCTCGATAATGACACATCTAGGACAGACTCAATGCAAGGTCCCAGTTGCCTGTTTGACAGTGCACCAATGATAAACTGTGTTTTCCAGCCATTTGTGTGTCCACTCTTGAGCTCTTCCAAGATCATAGTTCTCTAGCTAAGTCACAAGAATAGGCTATAAGAAGAAATTAGGTCAGTTTGACATGGTGTATTCTGGTTTGATCAGTGTTGCCTATTGTTTTTCACCTTGTCATCTTCTGGGCGCTCATATGATTGACTGTGTGCTCTAGAACTGCCAAGCTGTCGAAGTTGAGTTGGATGGTCCCCCATTTCCTTGGGTCTACCCTCTTCCCTTTTTTTAAAATGCAAGAGCTACATTTGACTTTTTCCTGTTCTGTGGAACTTCACCCATTCTCTACATCTTGTCAGAGATCATAGCTGATAGTTCTCAAGTTGCTCCCTCCAGATTTTAGAAATAACATTAGCACTGATTGCTAGGCATACAGACACATGACATTGATGAAAAACAGTTGCAAGGTCTTGCGTCTCACCTCAAAGGACAGTCACACCGTGTTGCTGCACCTCTTCTTCAGATTTACACTGTGTCCTGGAGGTTACTTTGATACAACAAGAGCAAGCTGTGCCCTGTCTTTCACATTGCCCTCTGATTAGCTCTGGAAGATACGACTGCAAGCATGGTGTGGTGGTCAAGAGAGGCAGAGAAGAGCTAGCCAGTTTAATTGCATCTCTGCCGTATAGAGCTTTATAGCTTGAAATCATCCCCAATGCTGTGCATGGCACAAGGAAGTGACTAGCTGGACAGTTCAGAATGAGAGATGACTGGTGTTATTGGCTTACAGCTCCTCACTTTGCACATGGGCTGCCTGATTTCAGCATTTGCAGCTTGTGGTTTACAACAGAAACACCCAGTTCCGTAGCATGGTAGCCTTCACTGACAGCTTGTCGGGGAACAATACGGGTTACACAGATTTAGAGAAATGTAAAACAGAAGCCCAAAATCTGGGCACATTTGTGTCCATCTGAATACTTGATTGAATTGGCCAGTCATCAAAACCTGCAAACAATAGTTCCTTTTATCCCACAGCCACAGCACAACGGCCACTGGGATGCCGTGGAAATTCCAAGCGATCCTTTAGCTGAATTGTAAACAACTGACTCTACACGCAGCAAAGCAGGGCTTATAGGTAGCAACAAGACCTTGTATTAGGTCAGCTAGTAAAGTTGCAAACAATCAACAGCTTTTCAGGCACGTAGCCTTTTATGCAGATTTCATAGACCTACCCCAAGTCTTCCAGGATGTGTCCTAGGCATTATTTGTATCTCTAAAGCATTTTTCATCTTCCTGGGCCAATAATTTTAATTTTCTTGTATGCACTTCCAGACTGGACCACAGTAAGTAGGCAACCATCTAGTTAGTGGTTTGCCTGCGTCCGTGTGTCCCTTCTTCGCCTGTGTTTGTCCCCATATGAGTGGCTGCTGGTCACTGTATTTGAAGACTCAGATGATTGCTCTGTCCAAAGTGGAAAGCACCTTTCTCTCACGTCATACTTAAAGTACTTGATTTAAAGAATTATCAAAAGTTCTTTTCTTGAGCATTTGTTATGTTGTTTGTTTAGTCCTATAGCCTAAAAATACCTACCTTATAGCCTAAAAATTCATCGTTGTGATTTCCCTAATTTAAGTACATCGGGGCAGCTAATGTACAGTCTCTCAAATGAGTTTCAAGGTACACTGTACGGAAAAGACAAGAAAGAAATACGCAAGGAAGTATTGAACAATTAATTATGCCATAATGGAGCAAGGGAGGGGGAAGTGGAGAGCTGGCCCAGTATAAACTCTGTGCCTCTGATGCCAGGATTACACTCGGAGGCATTTGTGCCTCTCTCCATTTTGTGAGGCATGTTGCCAGGCAGAACAGCAGTTAGTACGCCCATGGTGGGGTTTACTAGCTTCCACACCGTGTTTGGTGGCTTCTTAACTTCAGGATGAGGAATTAAAGTTTTTTACACAGCAGGTAGTGATTGCCGTTTACGGATCTTTTTTGTAGCAAAAATCTAGCTTGGGATATGAGTATTCCAAATCAGTGTTGAAATGAGGGAGGCACCACAGATGAAGTGTGGCTAACCAAAATATAGTAGTAGCAGTAAAATGTCCATGTACCAAAACCGATACTGTTCCTGCTAATGCAGATAAAAGCTAGCCTTGAATGCATAGTGACTTTGAGTGTTCCTTGTCTTCTTTCATTTTCCTTGTACGTTATTTTAAAGGTGACCTCTGATATGGGCGTGTGTATTGCAGGCATGAGCCATTCTCACCTCCTATTGAGTTGAATGGGCTCATGTCCATAATAGATAATATATTTCCCTTCCCTGAGTGACTAGGCACAGATTTTTCGTGAGTATTTCGGTGTCAGAATACAACACGGACATGTTGCAGGGCAAATAAACAAGGAATCACCTCGTCTTTCTGAGTAAATTAAGTTTGAATATGAATCTGTGCTTTTCAACGCTGGTTACCCATTTGTAAAAAGCCAGGAGGACCTTTCTCCAAAATGCTGAAACGTGATTTGTGTTCCATGGGAGTGTTCTTTGTCTTCCAGGGGACAATATCTATTTAAAAATAAACCTCCTGATGGGACTGCACCACCCAACTCCTTCTACAGAGCACTTTACCCCAAAATTATACAGGACATAGAGGTAAGAAACAGCTTCCGGATGTGGTGGCGTTTGGTGGGGTTTTTTTTAATATCCCCGATTTATTCATGATGCTGAAATTCTGAGAATATTTCATTCTAATGAAATATTTCATTACATCTGATGTATCTGTGTTTGTCTGGAGTTTGTAGGTCTGGGATAGTTACATAAGGTCCCAGGCTTCGCTGCTCCTTTAGACAGAGGATGAGTTGGATTATTCAGTGAGCTGTTTGGAGGTGGAGTCTCTACATCTTGAACATCACAGAAGCACTGTACCATCTTGATTTTCTCTGTTCCACAGTACTTTGCTCCACCCAGTGCAGATGAGACCTAATAAGATGTTACGGAGAGATATCAGGAGCTGAGCAAGGGAGAAAGTGCATGGTTAATGACTGCAATCCTAAGATCCGGGGAAATAGGAAGCAACTAAGGATGGCTGCTTGGTATCTAGTATGAGCAAAATGCCATCTTCTGGTAGTTTCCTAATGGCAAAAGCAGTGCTCAGGCACCGCTGTGACAAGTTTGTACAAGTACTTAGCTACAGCTCAACTGAGAATTTCTCTTCAGTTGTTTAGTTGTTGAGTCACAGGGGTTTAAAGGTTGGAGACAGAAAAAAGCTTTTAGGTCACTTCTTCCTCACCATTCCAGATAACACAGGTGAGTTTAGCCACAATATGTTTTCCAGGCTTTTGTCCATTTAATTAGTTTTATTACGTGTGTTACTTCTAGAAAGCTGGTATGTCATTGTTTGGGCCTGATTGCAGGAAAAAATGTGAAGAAAAGTATCTGCTGTCTTCTCAAACAAGCATAAAAGGGGGAGATAGTTCCGTGATTTATTTTTACTTCTCTTTTGTCTCCTGTCTGTCCTCAAGACAATAGAGTCGAACTGGCGGTGTGGAAGGCACAGTTTACAGAGGATCCACTGCCGAAGTGAGACAAGCAAAGGGGTTTATTGTTTACAGTATGATGATCAGAAGATAGTAAGTGGCCTACGAGACAATACTATTAAGGTGAGAATGCTCCAAAATGGCATCCTAATGGCATGCAGTGTCTATGCCATAAATAATAGTGTCCTAATTTCAGTGACACCTACTGAATCTCTTGTTAGTAACCTAGCCTTCTCCTTCCCCCACCTCACACCTGCACAGCATGTATGCCTCTTTTATCTGGGAAGAGAGACCCTATTTTCTTATAAACAGACTTTGCTAGCAGAGGTTTTTGTCCGTCAGTAGTTATGGGCTGTGCCCTGTACGCTGGTGAGTAGAGTAAAACCAGTGTTTGTAGTAAAGCCAGTAATAACAAAGATGTTAATGTGTTGCACCAAAGAGCCTGTAGAAGAGTACAGGTGCCACTAAAGATGTTGTAACTGCACTATGGATGATGTGTTGTAGTAAAAAAGAGGCCAGTCAAACCAGTAAGTGCTGAAAGATGAAAACCTTACTGAGCTGTCTAGTTTTGAATGTTTGCTATCTTAGATCTGGGATAAGAATACGTTGGAATGCAAGCGAATTCTCACTGGACACACGGGTTCTGTCCTGTGCCTCCAATACGATGAACGGGTGATCATTACTGGATCTTCGGACTCGACAGTCAGGTGTGTGCTTGGGATTTGGAGCTTTCTGTCTGCCTCTTAAGATTTTAGCCTGGCAAGCTGCTGAAATTATCTTGTCTTAAATATGTGTTCAATCAGTTCAATCAGTGTCAGTCAGTTCCGTGAAGTAGTTCAGCATATTTGTTCAGGGGTGTACTGTCCTTGTTTATCAGATGTCCATGCAAATGGCTGTCAAGGAGAAATGAGAACCTAAGCAAAGGACAGTCGAGGTCAAGATGACTTAGGAAGGCCACCTGGCATTTCACCAAGGTTTTGCATGTTTTGATACTCCCTGATAATGTTTTAAATTCTCTCTGAGAATAACTTTTTAAAAGTTGAAGTTTTCAAAGCAAGTTTAAAGGTTTAGTGATCCAATGTCACTTAATTTTAACAAAAGATGTATGACTAGATCTCCTGTGACTTTTAATTAAATTTCAGCATGATGTTTCTTTTCATTCAGGCTTTCTAACCTTGCTTTTCTTCCAGTCTCCAGCAAAAGGCTGGACACCTCAAGTCAGCACTTGCAGTGCATGTTCTGCAGATGTGAAGTCCACTAGACATATGACAGGATCCCAGAGAGTCTAAGACCTGCAATCTAAATACAGGCACATATGAGTTAGTGAATCACAGTATGAACTTGGATGTGAAGAAGCACGTCTGTCTTCTCCATGTTGTTATATATTCTTTTCTTGTCAGAGTACAAACAATGCCCATGCAGTGGAGTTACAGACAACAAAAAGCTGTGTCAGTGGTCTTTTCTGAAGCTATTAGCATGTGTTCCTATGGCTGCAAGCTCCTCACGGTTATTACTGTGCTTGCATGTAAACTACAACTGTTAAGCTAATAACGGTTATATTTAGTTCCTGATGTGATGCATACAGTCTTGTGGTGCTGCTAGATTTTGGGGTCCTATCGTTAGTAGGAATCCAGAATTTCAGCAACACTGCCTGCCTGGAGAAGGTGTGGGAACTGCACTGTGCGAAACAGATCGCAAAAGAGCGGCTGATTTCTGTAACAAGCACTATCATCTTCCATATCAGGCCAGGCAGGCCAAATTGCAGACTGGCTACTTGCCCAGAAATACTTTGTTTCCCACTGTATCTATAAATGTTTGCGCAGACCCCAGAGGCACATAGGATGCATCACTTTTATCCTTGGGTCTCCTCAGGAAGAGGGGCTTCATCCAATAGACAGTACAGATGGGCTCTTAATGCTTCTGAGATCTCAGGGATGCACTTGTCCAAAGAAGTCAGTAGGTCTCCAGCTCCTGTTTGGTTTGGCAACTCTGTCTGCAAACTGTGCGTATGTTAATGGCTCAGGTCTTTGTTTTTCTCCTTTGCATTTCGTAATTGGAATGTAGTTTTCTTTTTCATTTATAGTCCGTAAGTTGATGAACTTCAGTTTCCATAAGTTAGAAAATAAGACGTTAGAAGTCTTTCTCACATCTTGCCTTTTCTTACTCTTCACCTTATTGACAGAGGAAAGTTTTAACTTCTGCAATGTCTGATGTGCCTGATGATACAGCCATTTTCTGATCTCACGTACTGTATCTGCGATACAGGTGTGATAGTGCCAAAAGAAATCTCTTTATGGAGGGAAAAAGAAGTTTGCCAACAGAATAGCCCAAAAGAAACATTTTTAAGGCTTAAAATCTTCATTTGAAGTCCTAGAAGTTCTGTATGAAGCCTTTGTCTAACTTCCCTCTTAAATTATCTTTCAGCTGAAACAGGTGTTTCCACTAACATTAAGTTGATGTAAATGCTCTTAATTTCGGTATTCAGCACGTTCCTGGAATGTAGCTGTGTACCAGATGCACTGCAGGGTAAATGCAATTCGTGGTGCAACTTGTGTCAATTACTTATATTTGTTTGAAAAGTATTATCTTGTCTTCTGCTTTGCGTTGATAGTCCTGTGAGAGAGGTCAAAAATTAAATCTGTCACTGAACTTGCTTCTCCACAGGTCATGATTAAGTACTCATTGACTGGAAATGGAGTGTGTGGTAGGCTGACACAACCAGGAAACAATCAGTCTTTAAGGCCATCAATCTCATACCTTTCCTCAGCACTAAATTTCCTTAATTAAAGACCGCTTTTTTCCTGGTTGCGTTATTTTTATGGTGTTAATGGCATTGCAGAGGTTTTGGCTGCTGGACTGTCTCAGTGTATGCTTAATCAACAGGTTTATATAATACGTCTTTTAATGAACTGTTTAATAGATGTAGATATAACTGGTGGCATTTGCTTTTCTAATATTGCTAGAGAGTCAATTACCTCTCCCCATCCCTCTCTTGCTCTGCGGGAAATCCACTGCACAGTTTTTTAACTCTCTTCTCTCTGGTTTGAAATTTGAAACTTTAGGGTGTGGGACGTGAATGCAGGCGAGATGCTGAATACACTGATTCACCACTGTGAAGCAGTACTGCACCTCCGCTTCAATAACGGCATGATGGTGACGTGTTCCAAAGACCGATCCATTGCTGTGTGGGACATGGCTTCACCAACAGACATCACCCTGAGGAGGGTGCTAGTAGGGCACCGAGCTGCTGTCAATGTAGTGGACTTTGATGACAAGTACATTGTATCAGCATCAGGTGACAGAACTATAAAGGTGAGGTGTTTCAGATGCTTTTTATTTGCAGCACTGGGGTATTTAATAACCAAGAACAGTGACCAGACAGGGAAGATGGTCCTTGGCCACTATCACACAGATCTTCCTTTAGAAGCAGCGTTCTTCCTGCTGCTCCTTTCCACTTGTCCCTCCTCTGTTGAGTTTGCACAACTTCTTTACAGAGCTGTATGGCAAATCAGATCCAGGTACAGATGCAGTTGAAAAAGGACTTTTTTTCTGTGTTCTTTTTCGACTTGACCACTTCCATGATCTGTTTCAGCATCAGTCATTCAAACAGTTGTCAGAGGGTGGCATGGGGGCAAAAGTGAAGGTGAGTGGGTAGGAGTCACTTAAGTGTTGCTGCTATGATCCCAACCTGCAGCATTAAAACTGAGGAAAACTGAGATCCTGTGTAGACTAAATCATAGCCCAAGAGTGCTAAAGCCTGATTTTGGAAGCTAATGCTCATATGGTGTAGCGAAAATCTTCTGTGTACAGTGACCCAAGCTGCTAACAGTTGCAGACTATAGTCACAAGTCATTACAAGAGGAGTAATTTTCCTAGTCTTAATGATAGCATCTTCAATTAAGAGCGTTCTGGATGCACCTACATATCATACAGATACCAGCTTTTATTAGTCTCTTCTTAATAATTTTGTCTCTGTGTGGTTCCCTCCCCCTTCCTGTCACAGGTATGGAACACTAGTACCTGCGAATTTGTGCGCACCTTAAATGGCCACAAACGAGGCATTGCATGTCTGCAGTACAGAGACAGGCTAGTAGTGAGCGGCTCTTCAGATAATACTATCAGGTGAGAGACACACTCCTCGTTGCAGAGTTCTGTGCAAGCACATTGTCTCTGATTCCCTGGGATGTGCAGAGGTTAGGCAACTGAAGTGCTCTGTACCCTTGTCGTCTTTGAAATATGCTTTCTTTGGTATAGAACATTGGGAACTACTGGAAAGAGATATTAGAAGCTTGTTTTACTGTGTTGTCTTTCATCCTCTGTATCTCAAGAGTCCCATACTAATCAACAAGTTGCATTGCCGTGACAATTCTGGTGTATGAAAGAGCTGGCAAGTACCACTTTCTGTGATGTCCTCTTGTGATATTTTAATTGGGCTATGTGTCTAGTTAAAGGGGTCAGATTTGCAGTAAGAGGCATTTAATCCTCTGCAGAAATCCTCCTGGGCTCTCGCCAAACTCTTCTTGTGGTACTTGGCACCTGGTTAAGTTTGGAACAGCTGGTTTAGAGCATGAAGTTCAGTTTGCTGCCTTTTGCACTTCTCCAGCTGCCCTGGTTGCAATCTGAGATTTAACTCCTTCTGGTATCAGGAGCCAGGATTTCTCCCTACATCCTGCAGCTGCTGGCAGAGGAATGTCCCACTAATCTCGGCTGTATGGAGCAAGCTTGAGTAGTAGTGTACATGATGTAGTGAAACGGCTCTGTCATGCAAACAGGAGTAAGAGTAATCTCCCTTTTGTCTTTGTCATTTCTTTAAATAATCGTCTGCCTTCTGATCAAACTTGAAAGTTGGACAGTGTAAGCAGAAACCATTCACTTTGCATGTCAGTAATAATTTCTCCTCAGTGAGAATGATTCATGCTACTGTTTGCCTCTGAACTTTACTTGCAACACGCTGCCTCTCCCTGCTTTGCATTCTGTAGGAAAATGGTGGTCCTTTGGTTGACATCACCAGGTCATTGTGCCAGATTTTAGTATAGGGCTGTCTGAGAGCGTGACCAAGAGAGCTGGAACTTCTGTCTGTTGATCAGGCGACAAAGTGTTAGAGTAATGCACAGTTTTGTGTAAGGGTAGCACCACTTACACATGGTGAGAACTCCTGCACTTCAAATAGAAAAAAAAAAATCCCTTTGCAACTGTACTATGAAACTTGGTCTCAGAATTAGGGTAAGAAATAGTTAAATATGACAGCAGTTAGATCTAAAATATGACTTGCAATGCTAATCAAAATAAATGTAAAGATAGTGATGACGCTAAAGAGGAATACAGTTACTTTTATGCTTACATGGGACAAAATCCCTAGTTGACAGATAAATTGTGCTAGAATTTCAGGAATCTTGGCAGTGAATCTTAATGGAAGTCAAGTTTGGCAACTGTGTGGGCAAGGCACAAGACTTACCTGGTCACATTGTTTTCTCCCAGCCATTAGCAGAGGGCACAAGTCAGTGGAAGGGTGATTAAGAAGGGGCAGGTTACTAAGTCATCTTTGTGGGTGGCTTGGTGTTTTGTATGTTTGATTTTAATCCACTGTAAAATGCCAGATGTTGTGTGTTGGCTTTTAGTAGAGGCTGCCTCCTGATACAGAATTTGAAGTTCGTCATTCCTCAGTTGCAGGGAAGCTTTTTTCCAAAAGATGACTGTGATTTCTAGTTTTGCAACTGCAAACATAAGGACGTGTGAAGTAGCTGAGAAATCAATATCTTTCTTCTGTAGGGAGAATCCATGTATAAAAATGATTTTGGTTTTGTTTTAGGCCAGAAATTTGAGGAGTGTATACATAGCAGATACATAGGCATCACTATCATTGTGACGATTTCCACCTGGTAGAAACAAGGTCCATCAAGTTTAATCCAGTCACTTCAGTATCTTAGTCTCTGGGACCAAAGTTCTTAATTGCTACACGCAAGCATGGTATAGAAAAAAGGAGGAAAAAAAAAGAGAATTCAGAGCAAGAAAATAAGATCAGACTACATCATCTTGGGTTAATTTTTAAATGCGTGGTTGATCAGCAGGTATGTATTCATAACATCATCTTGGGTTAATTTTTAAATGCATGGTTGATCAGCAGGTATGTATTCAACTTCCAGTGTGTGCACTCATGGGGGTCTGATACTGGACTGTTTAGACAACAGCATTCTCTCTAGGAGATGTGGATTCAGGCTTACCTGCCTTCTGTACATCTTCCAGCTTTGTCAGGACTTCAAGTGAATTAAAAGCTGAGATAATTGCAGACCTCCCTCTACTTCCAGAATTTCTCCCAAAGCTATAGGAAGGCAGAGTGGGAGTGGTTTTGACTGCATACACTCTGTAGTGATTTTTTTTAGTTAGTTCTCCAGCCTTCAGAGTAGTTCTCTTACTATTTGGTCTGTTGACTATTTAAAGAAGTAGAAATTTGAGGAGGTTATCAAATCTGGGAGGTACCCTTGGCACCAATTCTGCTAGGAGATTCTACTCTTACATAGCAGTTATCCCTTTTGTACATGAAGGGCCATTCCCCGCATGGCACGGGACCTGATCGTCTCTTGTAATCCCATTCAGATTCAGGTAAAACCTCAAACTGGGACCTGAAAATACAGGCCTGAATTAGTGTGATGCAGCCTCCCAGAGCTGCTGGCAATCTCAGGATTGATGGCAAGGAATGGAAACACATGGCATGAAAGTTCCTGGCACAAGATTGCTCTTCAAACCTTTCTGCACCAGTTCATTTCTGGCATTGTCTATCCTGTTTACAGTCCTTGAGAGACTTAATGCTCTCTGACCAGCCAGAGTGCCTTTGGCTGACCTTTGCCATGGAGTTGCTTGCTCTGACCTTGACTGGTGTTCTTGTACTCATGTGAAAACTATTGGGATCTTCACAGTTTCCTCAAAGATCAGCTTCATGGATCTAAGAATCACCTCATGCTCCTCATTGGCCTCAAACGCATGCATAGACAAATCCTTTCCCAGTTCCACAGTCTCAAAAGAGTTCCATTCGTTCCTCTGTTGTCCAGACCACCTATATTTCTCACTACTGGGAAGTTCATGTCACTCTGAACGCTAATTGAATAAGCATTTAAGAACATTTGTGACTGCTTTCTTTCAGTTGCATGTCAGAGCCACAGCAGATACTGCTGTTAAACAATTCCTACATGAGCAGAGCTTGTCTCAGCCAGAGGTGGAAGATGTCAAAGAATGTCAGTTCTTGCAGGCAAATAATCTTTCTTTAGCTATGGTAATCGGGAGTCATATCAAAGAGCTGACAAATGTATGGAAAGCAAATAGTCTTACTTCATAACTGTTTCAAGTGTTTCTTAAGTATTTTTAAGGTAGTGTGTATGTGTAAAAATTACTGTATTTCAATTTATTCCCCATGCTAAAAATCTTTCACAAAGCCCAAAACTGTGGGGTATTTACAGCTGAGCATAACACATTGCTGGGTCTTTTACTGGGATACTGTGTACGGATTTTGGTGCCAGAACTTTTTTAAAACATTGGATTATTAGAAACAGTTAGCAGAGAGCCACAGCAATTATTTGAGAGCAAGAAAGAAATGCATTACAAAATAATAAATGTAAGAGTGCCCATTTTAGCTTATGCATAAGGTGCCTTCAATGGGAGAAATGACAAATAAAAAGGGCTTGTTGATTCTTACACCTTTTACCACTGTACTGATGGCTTAATTTGCCTGATGATAGTCTCCAAATCAGAAATAGGCATGTAGGGGTACAGAAAGGGGTGCATACCCTGTGAAGGTGATGATACCCTTGGAACAAGCTGCCAAGGGGGTTGATGAGTCTCCCTCTCTTAACGTCTTAACATCAAGGCAGGATACTTTTATGAAAAATCAACTTCAGTAAAATAAAGTTATGAGGCTCACTGTGAAGATGAGCAGTAGGTCTGTGTTACTAGAGCAGTAGGTGCTAGACACAACTGGTCTTAAATTTTTTGTATCTCTGACTCATTTCCCTTGTGATACTGTAATATAAGAGGGTCGTGTTGAAAATCATGCATCCACTTAAACAGCAGGAAAAGGAATGATGAATGTAGTTTGTTTCTTCTTTATTGTTTCGTCATGGTCTGTATTTCCAAGTTTCTATTAACTACAAGCAAAGACCAAGTGTTTCGTTGCAATGATCAGATATTCAAAAATTCTTAGTGCTGCTTTGTATTCTCTTCCAGGCTGTGGGATATCGAGTGTGGGGCATGTTTACGAGTACTGGAAGGCCATGAAGAGTTGGTGAGATGCATACGCTTTGATAACAAGAGGATAGTCAGTGGGGCATATGATGGGTGAGGCTGTCAGTGCAGTCAATACTTTGCATCTTCCTGTCTGTCCCAGTGTCCCACATCCCGCTTTGCTGTATCTTCCTTATAAATATTAGACTCCTTGTCTGTCATACCAAGAGGACCTTTTCATGACCAGTAAATGAGGACCGTGCTACAAAGCATACCTTTTTTTCTTCTTTTGAAGTAAATCAGTGTGGTTTGATGTGTGTGGTCCAGTTGCTTGTAAGAATATCTGATCAACTCAACCTGAAACCTCTTCTAGCTGAACCACTAGTAAGAACAATCTTTTCCATCTGTGGTTATGTCTTCTGGACCATTTGCCATTACAGACTAGGTGTCTGCACTCCCACATGTTTCTGTTAGTTATTACCACCTGCTTTTTATATGTTTTACTTTGTTGACAGCTTTTTTTTTTCCCATTAAGCTCTATAAGCTTTACAAAGGGGAAATGCAAGAACGAGGTCTCAAGAGCAGAAGGATTGCAGTAATTTTCCTTGAAGTGGTGTATTAGCTAAGCTATACTAACAGTTAATTTTTTTTCTGTGAGCACTTGCTCTTTTCTCTTTAACTGAGCCATGGTGTTTGTCTATGTTTTCACTACTAGGAAAATTAAAGTATGGGATCTTGTGGCTGCTTTGGACCCTCGTGCCCCAGCAGGGACCCTCTGCTTGCGAACCCTTGTGGTAAGAGCTTTTGGTAGGGGTGGCGGAGGGGGCAGAAAAGTGTGCTTGATCAGGGCTATCTTGAGCTATGAAAACTCAAGTCAGCTTAGCCCCAGTCTGCAGGATCTAGAAATCATTTCTAGGGGTCTGGCTTTTTTGGGTGTCCAACTTTTTTTCTTAATGTTGCAAGCTATGAAGCATTAAAAGTTAGAACCTGTGGAGTTTTCACTTACTTTTTAATGGGTTTGTTCTGTGATTTGAAGTTAATAACTAAATCCTTTTTTGAGACTTGTCCTTCTTGGAATCCATGTGCCAGTGAGTTTACCTTAACCTGTGTGTGCCTGATGGTATAGTAGTAAGGTGTCTTGTCATCAAATTTCTTGAAGAAAAGTAGTACATTCCAAATTTGAGGAACAAGAACAGAAACACCCTTGGGGTTGCTTTTAACTGGCTTTTTGGTGTTAAAGGAGAAAGCAGGTAAGGACTGGAACAGACAGTGAAATTGCCTCATCCTTAAATAGCAACTACTACCTTCATTCCGTCCATTAGTGTTTAGTGCAGCTCTGATGATAGTGTGGCTAAAATGTCATTGTGTGAGTGTTAACAACATTCACAGTCATGCTTAACAGTGGCTCTGCACTTGTCTTATAATAATATGAGAAAGTTGCGAGAAAAATGGCAGTACAGCCAAGGCCATGGGATGGTTCCTGGAAGCATTCCTCCGTCACATTCACCCCAAAAACCCTATGCTGTTGCTGCTCTGACGGCACTTGCCATGGGGATAAAGGAAGATTTCAGTCTAGTACCAAATTCTCATTGAAAGAGAAGTACTAAATTTATGTATTTATTAGCTAAGAAATGTTTGGGCAGTGTTGGAGTTGGTATATGTTAGACCTTTCCCTGCTGTGGCATGTGACTGTAGTCTGTGCTCTAAACCAAGATCGTACGGAGGCTGTCTGATTCTCTGAAAGTGTGGTTACCTCTCACCAGCTGAGCTGTGCTAGCTGACCTTCTGCACACTCATCCGCCACCTGAATTGCTACTGTGGCTGTAGATTTCGCTAAAGTATTTTACTTCACATTTGGAGCAGGCTGTGAGGGTTACTGTGACTCAGCTGACAGGCAGTAGATCATTAAGCCATGCTAACTCTTTTCCAATCATGTATTTGGACCATAAGCTGCAGAGTAAGAGTCTGTGAGAGCCTTGGATGCCTGCAGGTACTATGTTGAAAAAACCTTCTTGTTAGCCAAATAGAACTGCAAATAGTTTCATGGCTGAAATCCAGAAAAAACCTTTGTCATCAGCCACCCAGTTGCAAACTGTGGAACAACTCTGTGCTCATGAGCACGTATCCTGAGAGTCTAAGACTTCAGCTTGGTATTAGCAGTGTTCCTGCTCCAACCTGAGACAAATGTGTGCCTAGTAACCTGTAGACTTAATTTAACTGGTGTGATTTCCTCTGCATTTTCCAGCAGTGGACAGCCAAAGTGCCCCAGCTAATTATATTATAAATCAGAAGCGGTGGGATGGAAACACTGTAGGAATCTCAACACATGGATACTCATAAATCCCTGTTTGGTAGCGATGGAGGGGGCCAGAAGAGGGGGAGCAGAGGAAGCTGTTGTGGTGCTTTTAGGACTTTTCATGTTTATGACAACAGGGCGTCCTTATACCCACTTACCCGTGATTTGGGTATTTTTTTCTCTTCCCTCGGCCTCCAAAATTAAACCTGGCTGCACAATGAACATCGTGAGTCTCCCGCTGCTCGTGTTCAATTTTCAAACAGTAGGAGGAAAGTGCACAGATAACAAATGCTCGCTGCATGCCAGGTCCCTTCCAGTTTTGTCTTCCGTTAGCTGGAACAGTAGCCACGTGAATTTGACAGAAGCTTTCCAGGCATAGAATAAGCACACAGTTCAGCTTTCCTTATGAGGTTCAGGTCCTTGTGGCCACAACTTAGGGTGTGCAGTCCACTTATTGCCACTGCAACAGCAAAGGGTAGGTGCTGTGTGGAACTTCTAGGGCAACATCACTTAGCCTACAGTGACTGGAAGAAAAAAGGGAGTTTTGGAAACAGGCTTTGGAAGTACCTCTTTCTCTCTCTCTGTTTTGGCATCTCTGTGAGCAGTCCCTCAGGGAATCTGAGTGCCATAGTGATATTTTTTAGCAAGAACTTCACTTATTTCGCTGCTACAATACACACTCTGGAAAAACATTTCTCTTTGGAATAGGTGGGAAGATAGAAACCCATAAAGTGTTTTTAAGACAAATTTGAGTTATGCTTAGAAGATCAGAAAGGTTCCAATTACTGGACCTTTTTAAAAATTTCTCTTAAAAATAGAATGTGACTTTTGTGTGTGTGTATTTTTAGTTAATTTTCATTAAAAAATGCACAGTTTCGCTTTAAAGCAGCTGTTGTGCTTTGCAAACAGAGCTGTATTTTTGTAGTCCTGAGCCATAAGACACAGAGGCTTCCCATTTAGTAGCTAACAATTCTCTTTTCTCTAAATATTTGAAAAACCTGTATTTTCAGTACTAAAGTATTTTAAAGTATGTTTTTTTTCCTGTCCCTAGGCCCCTTACGACATGTGAGCACTAAAGAGAAATATGCATTAATAGATGAGATAGTGCTCACTCTACTTCCACGGTTTCTGTTCCCTTCTGACCGCAGAGGCCACTGCTCACTCTTGCAGCAGTGTAAGCACCGCGAAAAAATAGGCAACACAAAAGGGAATGCGTAGTGGATTTGCTCTGTGATATCCAGGATCTTGCCACTGCCGCCTGTTAATTACAGTCTGAATTGTTGCCAAATTGTCATGCCATTTCCACTCAGCCTCAGAGCAGAATGCAAACTGCCTATAAAGAATGCCCTTTCTAGTTCATATTTTTAGAACTGCTTAGGAGGAATTATTACTGTGTCACTGGACTTTACAACAGGCTCCTTAGTGTCCTCCGGTATTAAGCTCTTTCCTCTTCAGCAGTGGCAATGGTGCCAAGTCTTGAATGCAAAGTTCTCATCTCTCTCCTGTAACCTACTGCATCTGGAACTGCTGTGATTTCAGGAAGGAGTTTCACCATGGAATAAGGAAGACAGTGCTCCTGTCAGCCTTGGCAGACTCAATTGTGTGGTGGAGGGAGCTTGGTTTGTTCTGCGCAGTGCGTGTCCAATACTGGGATTAAGGAGTAATGGGATAACTGTAATATAAACTTCCTGCGAGCCAAGTACTCAGATACAGCAAACCGTTTTCACTGAAAGAGCGCTTAATTTACTCTATGTGATGGTGATGCACAGTGTGTCATGTGGGGTTTACTGAGAATGTAACACTAGAATCCAAGCCCAAGTTTGTCTTCCCCACTCCATCCCAGGCACCAGCAAGTTTGTGAAGTAACATGCTGTGTCTCCCACTTGCATTTAGGAGCATTCTGGAAGAGTCTTTCGACTTCAGTTTGACGAGTTCCAGATTGTCAGCAGCTCACATGATGACACCATCCTCATCTGGGATTTTCTGAATGACCCAGCTGCCCAAGCAGAATCCACTCGTTCCCCGTCCAGAACATACACCTACATCTCAAGATAAATAACACTACACTGTACCTCACACTTGCACAGGTAAAAAAAAAAAATTAAAAAATTAAGAAGAGGCTCAAAGGTGGCGCTGGATGTAGTGCGACCATGCTGCTTGAATAACTAGCTGGGTCTATCGATGTTTCTCATCTTGGTTGGACAGTAATTGCAGTGTCCTGTAAAAGGACAGGAATGGTTTTGATATCTTAGAACAGGGACTTTATTTTAGCATTTGTGGCATGTGGCGCCTGTGAGTTGTCCTGAAGAACTCCTCCTCTGTCCATCATCATCAATAATTAAATCAGCTATCACTGCTATCCAGAAGGAAGAGGGTTTCTGCAGAGCGAGTAGAGCAGCTGCTGCCTAACAAGGGGATGCAGATGGCCTGACCCTGGGCAGTTGTCACCAGGCAGGAGGGTTTTGCCAAGAAGCATCAGCTTTATTCCCTCTCTCTGAAGTAGTGACCATTCTTCTCACTCTGCAGCAAGCTGGTTCAAGAGAACAGTGTGGTTAGGGGAGGAGACACTGAGGCACAAGCCCAGGCAAATTAAATCGAGATGCATCAATGTGCAAAATCATTTACAGATAGAGCCTAGCCCTCGTTCTCTCTAGCACAGCATGGGTGTTAAATTGTTCATGTCAGAGCCTGGCTGGTTTGCTCATCACATTACCCTTTTGTCTTGGCCAGCACAGTGTGGGGAAGACATAATGTTTCATATATTTGGATCAGTTGTAGAGTGGATTTGATGTATATGAGTGGAGTGGGATAGCATGGTTGCCCACTTTGGTGGGTACATGCACTGTTACTGTTAGTAGCTTGAGAAAAATGGCAGAAGAGCTGACAGGCTTCTGCAGGGGGCTGTCCACAGTGACATTTTCCCATGGAAATGCTCCATTGTGGGGGACATCCTGTATCCTGTTTGACTGGTAAATATACAGTGATGCTCCAGAGCTGTCAGATCAGCCATCTTAATTTTCTCAAACGCTCTGATCAATCAGATGTTCTTCTAAATCACTAAAAGGTTTAGTACGAATGGGGTTTGTTTGGTTTGTTCTCTTTTTTGTTTCCAGGACTCATTTAAGCTGCAGTATTTAAATTATCTGCCAATGCCAGGACAAAAGAACTATCCACGTAACCAATACTTGCTGAAGAGAGAGGCTCTCAGACTTGTTTCTGGAACAAAGTTGGCATGCGGTTGATCTCAGACAGGGTCTACTCAGCGCGGCTGACTGCTGAAGTGCTGCTATATCAGAAGATTACTTTTATCTTTCATGAACAGTTAACATTTTTAAACCTTCCCATCCCTTGCCTCCCTTCTACCCCTCTTCCTGTTCACTCCTCTTCCCTTTACCCTGTTTGGTTCCCCTCCAAACCCAGTCACAGATGTCCTATGAATATATTTAAGACGTTGCCAGAATGTGTTGCTTTGCTGTTAAGCAGAAGACTTATAGCCACAGTGCACCCTGCTGAGAGTCACTTCAGGGTGGGTGGGAGGGTCAGTGGGAAGGCTCTTTTTTGTTTCCAGGACTCATTTAAGCTGCAGTATTTAAATTATCTGCCAATGCCAGGACAAAAGAACTATCCACGTAACCAATACTTGCTGAAGAGAGAGGCTCTCAGACTTGTTTCTGGAACAAAGTTGGCATGCGGTTGATCTCAGACAGGGTCTACTCAGCGCGGCTGACTGCTGAAGTGCTGCTATATCAGAAGATTACTTTTATCTTTCATGAACAGTTAACATTTTTAAACCTTCCCATCCCTTGCCTCCCTTCTACCCCTCTTCCTGTTCACTCCTCTTCCCTTTACCCTGTTTGGTTCCCCTCCAAACCCAGTCACAGATGTCCTATGAATATATTTAAGACGTTGCCAGAATGTGTTGCTTTGCTGTTAAGCAGAAGACTTATAGCCACAGTGCACCCTGCTGAGAGTCACTTCAGGGTGGGTGGGAGGGTCAGTGGGAAGGAGGCTGCTAATCTCAGACTGAAATCAATATCCATTGCTAGGCCTTTGAAAAAGCATTCAGCTCTGAAGAGCAACAGAAACACTTACAACAGCCAGACCAGCCTGCCCCCCCCACCCCGACTTCCCTGCGGCTTTTGGCTGTTCTGACTGCAGACCTATTTTTTCTGGAGAGAGGACCCTTGAAATTTGACTATTATGAGCCAAATCCATCTCTTTCCTCTCCTGCCTGCTCTGCTAACCCTTTGGAAGCTGGATGTGTATTGTAGTCTCCCTTAACATCTGCTTGGCTGGGGAACGCTAGTCAATGAAAAGTTAAACTCTCTTCTGCCAAAGTCCCAAGCATGATGGACTGGGGCTGAGATCCCCTCCACCCCCACCCCAGGTGAATCGTTGGCCCAGGGCAGTATTTCACTAGCAAAGGGACTGTCTGTACCATCTTCCTCCTGCTGTTCTCCCTGAAGACAGTGTGTTGCTGATGGCTTACGAATCATTCTGTAAATTGGAGGATGTTTGAGGCTGGGGTGAGGAGGAAAGCTGGACATTGCTCCTTTCTTTCCATTCCTCCTCCCCTCAGAGAGGCTGTAGCTGGGTGCTGGAAGAGGGAGCTGCTGAAATCCTTGTGGAGCTCTCAAGATCGAGCCACTCTAGAGTGGAGACACTACACAAGCGTTCTGGCCATGACAATAAGATTTTGCTGCCGTGAGCACCAATGGGGCGCAGTCCCCTGGTGATGGCAGATGGGTAAAACGGGTATGGCCATGAGTACAGTCAGTACAGTTAGCAGTGGCACCAGGTCAGTCCTGCCGCGTTTCTGGGGCTGGCCGGGCTAGAAAGCCTTCGGAGGGAGAGCCTTTGGTGCGCTTCTCTAACCTACGTGCATGCCGCATTGCGGTTTAGGGACACAGGCTGATTAGTCCCTTTGCTGATAGCTGAGCTGGATCTTTGCTTCCTAGCTGAGGCTTTTGCAAATTGCCATTGTTTAGAAGATAAAAATAGCCCTGAAAAGGAGGGACATGAGAAACAGTTCTGCATGTCTCTGAACTAGACAGAGAGGTCTGGGGGAAAACAGCTGTTTTTACAGAGCTGGAATTGCAGCAGGCCTGCATTTGATCAGGAAAGACTGTGTAAAGCAGTCCCTGGCCATTCCAGGTTTGGGCCCAGATCTTCCACTGTAGGTTTCGAATAACTCCCGCTGCCTTAGTGAGGAGTTGCTCCAATCCCACAGTAGGAAATCAGGGCCCTTCGTCTCCCGGCTGGAGGGATTTTAAACAGGCTTTGTTAAAACCCTCTAAACTTGGAACTTGGCAGATGGGAATTTTTTTTTTTAAGCTATTCTCATCAACTTCACTTTGCTGGGGAAGCAGTTGCATTGTTTCTAATTGCTTGGGATGCGCTTTTTCCACCAATGAAATTTTGCAAGGAGCTGGGGCAGGAGTCCCCAGAGAGCAGTCCAGAGGGCTTAAATCGTTTTGGTGACAGCTAAGATGGACAGGAAGGCGATGGAGTTACAAAGGAAGGCAAAGCTGGTGTTTGGGGAGTACCTAGTGCAGTTCCTGAAGCACGTGGGCAGCAGTGTTGAGCACTCAGCTCCCTGTATTTTCAATAAGCCTAGAGACTATGTCAGTTTTAAAGAGCGTCTCGGGGCATGTGGTGACACTCCTGTTTTCTGTTTGAACTATTACTGTAAGAGTCAAACAGGTTAACAACTCAGCTGTGTTCAGGTAACACTGACAGTGTGACTTACCTCTGCAGAGTCATAAAAGTTCTGAGTCACAATGGTAAGTTCACCCGTGACTAATTTTGGCACTACTTTTAAGTCTGGGAAGGCTGTTTTGGATTTCAGACAGCTCTGCATATCAGGCATACTGCAGTCCCAAAGCCAAAGCGGCAAGGGAGCAGAGAGAATCAAAGTTTACATCCCAAACTTTGCTGAGTTGAAGTTCTGAGTCTTATTCTTAATGTTATTTTAGCACTGTTCCTCTAAGTTCAGTTATTACAAAGTCTGCAGCATGGTTGCATATCAGCAGGTGTTTGTATGACCTTGGCTGCAGATTTAATTGTTATTTTCCTCAGTTTGGTCATCCTCTGTCTTTTATATTTAGGTTGTTGTAGAAAACAGTGATTTGTTACTCCAGCCTCTGAAGGCTGCAGAACTTCCTAATATATTAATGGCATCTTTGTGGGCCATACCTGCAAGGATGCATTTTATTTTGCTAGTTGGGAGAATTTGGGAGAACGGGAGGACTGGCTGGCCAGACGTGGAGACAACACCATTGCAGATTATCCTTGGTTGTCATAGCCCTGCTGCTCCATGCTGCTATTGTGTAACTTCTAAGCACTGCTGGGTCTTCAAGTGGTACCATATTTTGAACTCTGCTGTATAGAGCTGTTTAAGGTACAGTTATCGAGCAACAGCTGAAATCCATTTTTGGCACACAGTAAGAACGGTGTCTTACCCTCAAGAAGGGACTGTGTCTGGGTACTTCATACAGAACCGCTGAAAGGTGAGGGTTCCTTAACCCACCCCCCAGGTTGTACAGATTTTCTGATAGCTAAGAAGGAAACTGAAGTTAACTGATCTAACTTGAACTTGAAACTGCCACAGCCTGACATTTGGTGGTGTTTATTGTGCACCCAGGGAGGAGCCATCTGGTAAGTAGATCTCCCAATGTCAGAAGAAAGTGGCTTTTTCAAACTTCCCCCCCCTTAAGGATATGTGTGCGTGTGTGTGTGCAAGAGTGCATGTGAGAGAGACGTTTCAGCATGAACTGGATGGATAAATCCCTCAGCCAGGTTGGAGTAATTGCAGAGTTTATAATGAAAATAACTAGAACATGCCTGCTGAAAGGAGATTAAAAAGGGCTGGAAGTGTCTGTGGGCTTTAAGTGTTGCACATCGCTTTGAAATGAAATGAAATACCTCTGCTGCGTAGAGATCGGCACTTCTCCCACAAGTAGGAAGCTCACACTAGCCTTCCCCCTTGGACTATGGGATGGAAAGTAGTGGAGGTGTGGGACGTTCAGAGCAGGACAATCCGTTACGGCCGCACCATCTCCTGCTTGTGACTCCTTTGCAATAGGGCACAGTTTTTCTGCAATATTTCTCATCCTCAGAGGAATACAGCTTGCTTTAAAATATGCAAATAGAAGCATGAAGGAATTTGCAGCAAGAAAACTTTTGCAGCTGTCTCCTCTGGAGCAGCCCTCTCTGCTCCCCGTTACTGTTCAGGGACAGACACATCCGCTGTTGGAATGGAAGGATTCAGGTGACAAGTTGAGAAGTCTATGGTCATCGGAAACGTTGAAATGCTTTACACTTGTTTCTAAACTGGAAGCTGACTTGGACCACCATGCTCTACCTACCCGCCACCTGCTCCTGCTCCAAAGGATCCTTTTTTCTTTCCTTAATTTTTTTTTTTTGAACACTGAAAAAGCTGGAGAGTATCATGTGCATTTCTCCACTCCCAGGTATGTGTTTCCTGCCCCTGCCACATGTTCCTTTCTCAGTCTGAGCAGAGCTGCAGGCTTGGTTCTGAGTTTTTTGGCATCCCGGCTCTGATGGAAGCGCATCTTCAGGTTGGGCTCTTTGCCTAACTTCGTTAGCTTCCTTTAGCACCATTTTAGATCTGCCTTTTGTGGCTAAATTCGCTTGGGAGGGAATACTTGTTTGATAAATCACAAATGCTAGCAGCTCTTCCTAGCTAGAGAAGTGGACAAGAAGGAGCAGACAGCGTTCCTACTGCAGGCTTGCTCCTAATTATAGGAGGAAAAAGAGGAGACAACCCAAATGGTTGAAAGCTAGGAGGGGGTGCAGGGATGGAGATGGATCTCTACAGAAGTGGGGACAATGCTGAAAATAGATCTCTTAGCTTGTGTAGTTGACTCAGAAGAATAGAGGGTTTCTATGAGAACATCAAAAGTCATCAGGAGGTAATCAAGTAAGGCCTCCAACTGTTGAACTTGACAGTTGATGCCACTTTCAGGTTGTGCTGGGAGCATGAGGAGAAAGGGATGGTCTAAACTACATTTGCCAAGAAAGAACTTTGCCAGGGTCTCCAAGTGGCATGCATGATGCATCTGACATGCTGAGCCTTGCCCTGCTGTTGTTCCCCCCAAAGCAGTAAGCAGCAGCTTCCCAGAAGGAGGGGGGAACAGCAAGTGACCCAGGTGTCCCCAAAAGAGGTCTCCATATGAAATCCCTCTGTTCTTCTGCCAGCAAATCTGTACCAGATTGATTGGCATGAGGGGGCCACAGTCTTTCTGTCCCCACTTTTAATTCCGAGACTTACAGAAGCAGCAGGTCCCTTGGCTGCCTTCCTTCTCCACAACCCCAGCAGCAG